AAGTCATACCTTACTATACCTTGAGTATACATATATTGGGTAAATATTATGCACTTGGTATATCATATGTCACAAGAGGATGAGGAGCTTATAGTTGCATATAAGAGGTGTTTGCAGGCTAGATCTAATGGACAGGAGGAGCCTGGGAAGTCTGGAGACACCCTTGGTCAAGGTGATAGGTAGCATTATCACTGGCTCTGACACTTACTTTCTGCAAACACGACTGCGGGAGGCAGCATTTTATTTGCTTTTATGAGTTCTTTTCTGACCTTTGCAGGCAGTTGAGCAAAATATGAATGTTCACAGAAACCACTTTTTATTTTAACGGCAGTGAAGGAAAATAACAAGAAACATTAATTAACATGTTTTAGATCAAATGCAGGATAGATTTATTGAGGGAGGTGCAGAGAAACTGTAGCTGCCTTTTCCCTTTAATGTCGCTCAGGGGTGTGCCCACTGTCATACAAGATGTCCCTTCTGTCCACCCATGGCTGTGGGAGCTCTGAATTTAAGCAGTGATAAATGGTATTTTTAGTCAATGGATGACATAAGCTAGAATACATGAAAATTAAAAATATGCATACTTTGATTTTTGTCCTTGAATTTTCAAGGGTTTGTTTTGATGTAGGTCTATTTACTGTAGCTTCCAGGTGGCAGCTAACAGATTTGGGCAGCAGGCAGTTTTCAGGTCTGCATGGGTTACTAGTTGGGCACAGGAACAATTTGTTCTTAAGGTGGGTTAAACACAGAATTTCAGTCACACTGATCCAATCAAACTTAATAGTTCAGGATCATCTTTAGATACAATAAGTGCTGAGACAGGAAAAAAAAAAAAGCCAAGATCAGGTATTTCTAAGACCACACAGCTGGCTCCTTTTAGAAGGCTTTTGGTCATTCTGTGCAGGTCATCCACAGCAGTCAGCTGTTAGACCTTTATCTCTGCTCTTCTCTTTTCCAGACTCTGTTCTCTTTTCAGTGTCTGCTCACTGGTGGCAGCATACATCCACTTTGCGTTCTTCCTACTTGGAAATCTGTAGGAAATTGCCTAGAAATGTCTGTTCAAGATAGAAAGCTTAAAAAAAGTATTCTTCAGGCTCAGAAATTAGAAGGTTCTTTAAGCATGTTACATCTGGGTTCTGGGATATATATAGTTTTGACTATTTATTTATTTATAAGAATAATTTTACAAGTGCTCAAAAATAATTTGAAAAACATTTCTGTGATCTAGGAAAGGGGCTGTGCTGACTAGTCTTAAGGAGGGCCTTCTCCTCTTCTCTTACCAGAGGCATGTGATTGTAATACATGTCGGTGGGGTTGGTCTCTTTCAGTATGGCAAGATAGCAAGAACCTTAAGTTCCTTATGAAGAAATACAAATTTAGTCTACTAGTTACGCCAAATTTTGGAGATGATAAACACTTTTTTTTTATGGGCTGATGTACATGGAAAGAACAAACCAGCAATGACCAATGCAATCCCCAACCCTAATATATTTTGTGATTGAATCTTCAGTACTGGATTTTTACTAGAGGCAATTTTGTATTTTGCTTGCTAAAAATATCAGAGGGATTTGATGTGATCCATGTAGCAGAACAGTCTATAAATTTCCTAAAGGCCTGGGGATAGTGTTCTGCTGATGCTGCTGTTAGACAATATGCATAAAGGCGCATCTGCCATCCATGGCTCTAGTGCTGCAGGGATGGAATAACAGCATTTCTCAGCACAGTGCTGCCATAAAAATCGTCTAGGCAAGGAGACTGTTGGGGGTTGGGGGCAGAGGAACGCATCTGTAAGGTATCCAGTTGCACAGCACTCCTGCAGTGAGCCTGGTACCAGAGCCATTGCTTCAGGCGGGTTTGATCATTTCTTCCACACTGCTGGGTTCATCTTGGTGCACTGGGGCAGAAGGGTTCATGCCGGGCTCCCGCGTGTTTGGTTACCCCAGCACGTACTGTTCCTGAGATGTTATTGAGAGTTTGGCCTTGTGCTTGGGACTCCTGTATGTCCCGTGGTCGGAGAAGAATTAGGTGAGCCCTCATTTCACACATGGTTTAGTTGTAAGCGCAGAACAGACACCGGGATATGTCCCCAAGCAATAAATGGTTATGCAGGAGTGACATGTTTTCATCCTGTCTCAGTTTTAATTATACAGCTTCTTTGTTCTCAAGTGGCTTGCCTTATGGCAGGAGTGTTAGACTTTGTTTCCTCCCTAGTGCTGATAAGGTGAGGCAGGCTCTCCGTGACTTCTTATCCTGCTTAATTTGTGTCCTTCATTTCCAGATGGAAATTTTGGTATCGAACAGGGAGGAGTTTAAGGCGTCGTGTGCCCCATCCTTCCTGCTTTCTGTGAGACAGCCCTCCTTCGCTCCCCTGTGGAGGAGCACCCGCTCTCTGCCTGGTGCTTGCCATGAGGACAGGCGGCTTGTTGCTTTTCACATTACAACACTTGATTAAATTCTTCAATTAAAAGCCCGGGCTGTGAGGTTGCAGCTGACCTCTCGCTCCAGCTGTAGGCAGCCGGTGGGACGGGCTGTCAGGCGAGCTGCTGCTGGCCAGGCTCGCAGAGGGGTGTCCTGGGCAGGGAGGGGGTGGATTTCAGTGCAGGTGCTGGACTTTTGGGTGCCCGGGTTTTCTCTGTAATGAGATTAATGTTATCGTTAGGGCCTCTGCCTGCCCCTTCCCTCTGAAGGTAAGAAGTAATATCTGTACCTGCCCCCAGTGTTTTGAGGAAAAACAGAAGGTGGAGGAAAATGATTACTTTGGCATGGGGACCTACAGTTCATTTTGCTTGAGTAGTTCCTTTTTTTTGCTGTAAGATTTCTTTGGCTTTAGTAGAATAGTATTTATTACAATTAATTACAGTTAAATGGGCCATATGGTATTTGGAATGGAAGTGGGCACACTGCGCTGCGGGGATGGAAACATATGGCAGCGTTCCCTGGACGGTAAATTTCTGACACATCTCAGGACAGGAGGATTCAGCTGAGATGCTGGCTATTGAGATTTTGGGAATGTGTGACTTATTCCTGTAAGCAACGTTGAATTTGACCCATGATGGGGCCAAGCTTGCCTCCCCAAATTTAACTATTTTTATTAGTTGTGCACAGATTGATCATTTTACTTTGATGCAGTACTTGCAGAGCTGTAATTACAAGTGAGTGCTTACAGCATAGGTAGTTTTGGAGAGCAATGTATGTGGTTTTTTGCAGGTAATAAAAGGGAAAATCCAATTTGCAATTGCAAAGCAAGCCCCTGAGTGATACATGATCTTCGTAGCAGCACCGGTCAGAGGGTTATGGCTAATCACAGTGCTGGCTTGCTTCCCCCGTGGCCTGCGCCTGAAAACTGAATAGTGAGCACGTGAGCCTGCACCTTGAGCCAGCATAGATTTAGAGACACCCGTTTCCAGCTTATTAGGTCCTCTTTGTCACAGTACTTAATCCTGCTTCCTGATCCTTGTTAGAACAGGGCTGCCGAGTCCCTTAATAAAGGAGATGGGTGCGAGGCTCCTAACAAGGCGCACTGAAGCGTGAGGCAGCGAGGGCAATTGCCGCCTGACTGTCAGAGGGGTGAAATGCTCCCTGCCTGTTGTTATTTCAAAAGAACAGGCCTCAGACAGCTGGCAGATGAGCTTGCTAAGGTAATGGTAACTTGTTGATAGGCCGATATGAGATGCATGACATCTTTTCACATGGTATAATGGTCTGTCTTTACTCTAATTGTGTTAACCCTTTTTATGCATCAAGGATTAGCTGTAATGTAGAACATGCAACCGAAATGGCCAGCAAGCACATGGCTTGCAGCAGCTCCTGTAGCGTGCATGTGTGTTCATGCTACTTACGTGAACGCCTTTAATTTTGAAAACCTAGTACATCAGGTTGATTTCAGATTTCTGTGGCAGCTTGGCTCAGTCAGTCTTCAAAACCTTGTAGTTTTTTTGTTTTGTTTTGATTTGATTGGTTAAAGATTTTTTTATTTGTTACTTTATATTTCTGATGGCAGGGTAAGCCTCTCTTCATTGTAAAATTCACAAAAATAAATTTAAAATGGTAGCAGAGATTTCTTATTTTAATTTAAAGAACACAAGAAAATACTTCAATGGCTAGACCTTCCTGGAATTCAGCTTGTTATATCCATAGTCATGAGGAGTTTCAGTAGAGCATGTACTGTTTTGGTTTTGGGTGGTAAATATTTACAAAAGGAACAAACAAAAAAACCCCAAGCAAACCCCTAATAGGTCTCTTAAGTCTTCCTGTCAACAGAATAGGTGAAACCGGCATGTTGCAAGAATGATGGTTTTTGTTTGTTTTTCTCAGTATAGAGAACTATAACCACAGATCAGCGGTAGGATCTCAGTACAAACAACACATTGGGCACTGGGAAGGCAAAAAGCCTGTTGGGCATCGCTTGTTGACATTATGCTTGGAGTAGTGATTGAGAAATGCTTGCAATGCTAAACTTCAGCAGAGCAAAATCCTACCACAGCGTCATTCTCCTTTAAGCCATGGTGGAGAGGGATACTTTGCTGAATTGTCCCATAGCCCTGAAGATTATGTTTAATCATCGAGTTACACGAGACTTAATGCCTCAACAGAGTTAGGAGGTTTGGAGTTAGGAATCAGGAAGCCCCAAGTTCTATTGCAGTTGTTCTGCCCATGCTGAGTGAATTTACTCGCCTGCAGAAGGACACCCCAACACCTATGCACTATTAAGCCCTACTTAAAACTAATTTGATGAATAGATATTATATGCATTGGGCTGAGTTCAATCCTGTTGTGCAATATGTAGTAAAGCTGTGAAATGAATAGGGTGGAACTGCATCCATCATGGTGGGAACTACTATGTCCTCCTTTTCCTCTCCGCTAAGACTGAAATATTTGCTTTTGTTATGGTTGTACTCTCTGAAACGCATGAAAAGTTTCATATTCACAGCAAGATATTTCTTTCAAATTTTTCATATTTCAAATTTCTTTCATACGCTGTTTTGTTTAATCCCTTTTAGGTAATTTGGATTTGACTGGTCAAAAGCAAGTCTTCAAAGCAGAGAACAATCCTTGGGTTACCCCTATTGCTGACCAGTTCCAGCTGGGAGTATCTCATGTTTTTGAATACATTCGTTCAGAAACATATAAATAGTAAGTATTACTTATATACTGTAGCTGTGTTGGGGTTTTTTTCCTGTACTGTGTTTGGCAAAGTGTTATCAGCTACACGCTTCTTTCATAATCCATGTAGGAGCTTGGTATTCAGGGCAAATATGCAAACCTGTACATTTATATTAAGGAATTTTGCTGACAAGAAGGTAAATAAATGTGATTTAGACATGTTAGGAAAGCACAAAGACTGTTTGATATTGTCCTGCATTTGTTGTTCATTTCTAAGAGCTGTTAAGTAACATGAAAGATGTAAAAGAGCAAGCTTCACAAGCCTTTGAGAAGTTCTAATTTTAAGTATGTACAGTAAGGTTTTATAGATTGAAATAGATATTTGTTAATGTTTTTGGATGCAGGTTGTTATGTTTTGAAAGAGATGTCTAGAATTGAAACCTGTTTTGAACTGGACTGGTTTACAAAAGTGTACAACCCTGATAATTCAAATACAGATACTAGTACTTTCTTCAGCAGTGTAACTGGAAAAAAATAAACCTCATGTTGGGACTTTTCCATTTTAATTCAAAATTCTATGTACAAATGCTAAGCATTTGTTTAGGAAATAATGTCTTTAATCACTCACTGAACTGAAATATTTCTTTTTAGTAAAAATTTCCATATTACCATTCCACAGTAAAACTTTAGATGGGAAATTATTTTTACGTGTCTGACAACCTTGATGCTGTCTTCCTAGAAGCAGTAGGTAGTACAACACACAGTACAACCTCTAGGTTGGAAAGTTAGTTTTTGCGTTTCCCTTTTGTTTAAAAAATATATTTTAATAATTTAGAAGCATTTCTGACAATTTTTTTATACTGCTGTCTGAACTCAGTTACCTAAGGAGAGTATTCACAAGTGAAGGTTTTGGGATTCCAATTAAGTAACCGAGATGTAAATTTCTATGTGAAACTAAATGATCCAGCAATGGCTTTTGTAGGCTATTCTTGATTTACAGAATTTAAGTGGAAACGATCACAGATGGGAGGGTGGTTACAAAAACTGTGTGTCTCAGAAGTGTCCAGATATTTATGCTGTAATAGGAGTTCTCAAGGTAGATTTATTCATAGATTTAAGTAGGCTGCAACACCCTTCTTCCAGTAGTACTCTGTACTACAGA